TGTTTGGGGACCTGGAAAACCCGATGCCCGTACCCGATTTGCTTGGCAAAACGGGCCAGGCTGGAGATTTTTTGGGACCCAGTGATTGGGATTGTTGGGACAGTATGCTTAGCGGGTCAAACATCGCCCCGGATTTCTGGGTCGGATCATCCAGATGGCAGGCGGAGGACTGCTTTCAAGACTTTGGTGACGTTTTCGGGTCGGATCCTCTCGTTGCCCTTTCAGGATTTTGAAGAGATGATGAGTGTAGTTTAAAATCAGTAGGAAAAGTTCGCTGATTTTCGGATGGTTTTTTCCTTTCTTTTCTTCTGTCTTTAGTAAATGAGATGTTTTGTACCTATGTGAAAAATGTTGATTTACTGTCAGTTAATGTGATGTTTTTACCTCGCTCGGCCTACATCGTCTCACTTCGACTCCCATTGGTGTGGGGCCTTGCTTGACCATGATAGCATGGGTGTCGTGCCCCGACAAACTCTAGTTTAGGCTTTAGCCTTTTTTTTGTACCAAAAAAATGTGATGTTTTTACCTTTTGTTTATTTTATTTTGAGTAATGTTGTAGGTACATAATAGTGTACATAGAGGTGTACATAACGATCACATTAAGTGGGTCCTACTAAAAATAAAAAAAATTAAGTAGATTCTAATCCATGTGAATGTTATGTGTATCTCTATGTACATTTATTACGTTTTTGTGTAGTATTTTTCTTTTATTTTACTGTCACAATTCAGGGTCAAGTGTGGGTTACGTGGCCAGGAACGATATGAAAATTAGGTGGAAAAATAAAGTGAAACTCAAATACTATAAAATTATGGTTTATTGTAGGCGCTCGTGTGCCACGCCCTTGTGGTGTTAAATTTGTTCTCGTGGTGTGAGTCAATTGAGGCCTGAGGGTGTGATTTGATATAAATATATCCGATCCAAACGAGTTTTTTTAGTTAATAATAATAAGTTTTTAAAAAATATGATATGATTATTTATTAGTGTAATTTTTAATTTATTTTAAAATAATTTTTAAAATAAAATACTTAAAGTTAATTTAATGTAAAAGCAAGATGGATGTAATGTAAAATGATTGTTAATTCAAATTATGTGTGTGATGAATAATGAATTCATAATGATGTGATGTGTAAGAATGATTGATTTATTATTTAATTATATTGAAAATGTTGATGATAGTTTGATTGAGTTAAAGTTGAATTTGATTTTCAGTATGGATTGAGTAAATAATTGAAAAAAGTTTTTAAGCAAACACACCCTTAACTGTTCGTCGAATCAGCTCGTAACATCTGTATACTTTAATTATATAGTGCCATTTTATACTTACTAGTATTCAACCTGTGCATTTGCACAGATGTAAGTAAAGTATTATGAGTTATTTGTATGCATATAGTGATCAATAATTTTTCTTGCACTTTTGGTCGACCAAATTTACATTTAAAAAAGCTGGAATATTTATTTTTTAAAATTGTGTTTATCATATTGGATGTAATGTATATTTTTGTATGTATTTTTTTTATGAATTATTTATTATTTATTTAGAAATTTCAAATATGTTTTTTTATTTTTCAAAAGAAGTTAATTTAATTGTAACCACAACAATAACATCTAATCACGTTAAATAGTCAAAACATTATATGGTCAGCTGTAATTAAATCAAAAGTTTAGAATTATTTTTGTATTTTAAAGTGATTAGTTTGTTGATTATCTAATAACTAAATGAGAGGTTAAATAAATAAAAAGTAACGGTTTTTGGAGGGAAAAGCTATATTGCCACATAGGTATAATTTAATAGGTTTAATTTAATGCTCATATGCTAGCAATTATATATATATAGATTCATTCAAGTATAATACTTTTATATGATATTTTTTATTAGAAAGTATATCGATCTAGACATCAGTAAAAAAATATTTTCACACAATTTAAAAAAATATTTGTGAAAAAAAAAGTATATCAGCTACACCGATTAAGCATTTTTCAAACATTTGATTCATATTGATTTGGCCCGAGCTACAACATGTTTGACTGGTTCGCTTCAAGAGACAAACACAACCCGGTTCTAGTTCTTAGTGACTAATTAAGAACTAGACCGGAATAGTGCATTGTCGATAAATTTCAATCTAAAAAAAAAAAAGAGAAAAGAAAATGTTTGGTTGGCTTATATAGCCCTCAAAGTAGGCAATATGTACTTCAATGTTTTTGTGGTTGCATGCATTAACCACTATTATTGTCAATAAACTGGTCAATATTTTCCCTATTATAGGTACACTACAGCTACAGCCTTCTTTTAGTGCTTGTTTATTGTTGAACACGAGGCCGAATTACAATACAGACACAATAGTAATTTAATTAACAGTAATATATGATACTATATGTTGTTGTCTCTTTGTCCTTTTCTTATTTTGCAGACACTATTATCTTAGTTATGTGCAATAATATCACATTCATGCATATTATTAATGTATTATCCTTGTTCTTAAATGAAATGTGCTCTAGACTATAGTGTACGTGGTACAATTTTTCACCAAAAATTGATAGAGGCATGCATGTGAAAATTACATGTGCGGTGGCTCATTATTTGTTTATAGTTACATGATTTAAATGAGTGAACCGAGTTTTGATACATTATATAATTATATAGAAAATCACAAATTATTGTGTAAGACAGTCTAATTGTTAGTTTGCTCGACTCGTCAATCGTTAGATAATGTGAATAAAATGTGCATGTTTATGCTGTCAAACATAGTTTTTAAACTCAGCTTAGGAATCGGCTCGGGCAGGTCACCGGGTCAATTATTGAACCGATTAATTAATTATAAATTTTTTAAATTATATATAGAGAACTTGTCATATAAATATACATAAAAATAACAAGATTAAATGTTTGTATACAAAATTTGTACATTAAAGAGTTAATAGTATGATTTCATGATAAATATTCATCATATAAATATATATACATAGTTTTATTTTTTAAAAACAAAAAAAATAAAAAATAAAAAATAATAAAAAAATATATAGGAACCAGGTCAACAGGGTTGATCCAGCCGGGTCAATGCCCTGGGTCGACCGAGTCAAGGCCAGGTTGGCCGGGTTTTGACGAATTTGACCGGGTCCTTTTTTGCTATGCCCGAATAGCCCACCCGGACCGATTCCGGTTCCGGGTCGACCCGCCGGGCTGATTCGGGTTGAAAAACACTACTGTCAGATGATATACTTTTATTTTGTACTGTTTTTGCAGTACAACATTTTCAGATGAAAATATGAATATTTGTGAAAAAAAATATAAAGATCAAATTATTAAACAAACCTTCTATAATAGTGTGTACGCAATGGTTTACTTTAATTTTATGAACATTTGGAATTAAATTGACAACTCCCTCCTTCTAAATTACAGTTGTTTGACCTAACTTTTTACACAAACTACAAAAGTTTGAAATTTTAAAGATCCAAATGTTCAAAAGTTTAAAATCTTGAGATCCAAATGAACATATACCAATGTTGAAATTTTAAAGAGTTCTTTTGAAAATCTGAAATGAATATATGCCTCTAACTTAAAACAACATAAGTTTAAGTTTGAAAACAACTTTTATAAGGTCTTCTGATTAATTAATAAATCTGTCCAAATATGAATCTAATTTGAACTTATCTACTGTGATGCAACAACTTAACTAGCAATTGATAATTCACTTTTGTATGCAAACCATAGATTTTAGGGAGCAATTATTGTTGGACAAAATATATTTGAACGAGCTGAAGTCGACCTATATTTGTTAACGAGACATGCTATGTTCTGCTCGTTAAATCTTAAAAAGAGAAATTTTACATAATTTTTTATAGCTCGACTATTAATCTTATTGAACAAGTTAAGGTCGAGCTCGAGCTCAAGCTCACTCATTTAGTTAAAAAAATGAGCCGAGCTTACACATTGTACATTAAAATTTGGGTTGAGTAGATTTATTCTTGAAGCACAAGAAAACAGGTTGAGAACTCAGTGGGCGCCCAAGGCTAAAAATTGTCGGCAAAAATAGTCAAAGGCCTACACATTATCCCCACTCAAAAAACCCCCAAAACCCCAAAATCATAAACCCTAGAAATTGAAGGGTGGGAGTAAATGGAGCCATCTCAAAATCAACAACTGGCGGTGTGCGGCAAAGAAGCACTCGATCTGCTCAACTGCATCGCTCAATCGCCTTACGATCAGGACAAATGCAATTCCCTCCTTCAAGCTCTGCGTCAGTGCGTCGTCGACAAGGTAATGAGTAGTCGATAATTTGACGGTGAACTGAAAGTAATTTGTTTGTTTGATCTGTAATGTGAATCTTCAGTGATTGTGAAATTTGTGTAATGGCATGATTCTGGCTGTTGCAATGCTTGATGAGTTGTGAAATTATGTTTTGTAAATGAGGAAATTGTTGCGTTCTGAGTATCGAGGCATGTTTTTGATGGTGAAATAGCAGCTTAGAGGAATGCAAGTTCAGTCACATGGGGCTGGATGTTTACTGTTTAGGCTCAGTTTTGTTGTTTCTTAATGGGTAAAACCAAATTCCGGTATTCGGCAAGCAGTACTTGAGTGTTGGAATTCACAGATAAACCCTGCCATTGTGAGTTTTGAATGAATATGCTAGCTTATTTTTTCAATGTTTCGAACTATCGGCAAGCTAGAAATTTTCGAGAATAACGTAGGAAAATGAATTCTGATTTGATACATTTATCCAACCGAATGCGGAATCTAGTTTTCAGGTCAAATTGAACTAGTTATATACTCTACTAACTTCACATCTTTATTTTGTTCGGAACACTTGACGTATTAGGCCAAATTGTTCCATCAAATTAATTATCATAAGCATACGGTATTCAGGTTTTTTTCAGGCTTATTCATCTTTTTCATTTGTTTTTCCGTTGTCCCATTTGATTGCCACTTCTAATCAGGTGTTTTAAAAAAATCTTTACTTGACCCGCCTTTTATATTTAATCTGGACTTATGGATAAAATTTCAGTAGTTATTGTCGATGGCTAGGTCTGAAAATGTTCAGTTGTGGATTCAATTTCATATTCAGTAAACAGTTGTAGAATATGCATTAGTTATGTGTTTGTGAGTTGCCAAAAAGGTTTGAAGTAGGGGAAAGTGTAATCACATTCAATGATACCACAAAACAATGTTCTTTAAGAGCTAGGTGACTTCATCTAGTTGGTTTCATTTGTTTTGGGAAGCTCAGATTTACACTCTTAGTTGCTTTGTGTATAAGTTGAGTTTATTATAGTTCAATGGTAATCAACTAAGTACTCCCTGAAATTAGATTGATAAGAAAAATTTAATAAGGTCACTCGCTCACCGACATTAGACCAATTCTTAAGAAAAGTCTCTCTCAAACTTACAAACTATATCTCCGTAGTGGGGACTTGTTAAGTGATAGAAAATCTCATAACTGGCGACTTTTCAGTTTTCATTTTTAGTTGTTTGGGATAAGTTCGATTGTTCAAGTGTTACATATAGGTTCTGCAGTTAACATCGCAGCCAACTTCTATTTATAATATGTTGTGTGCATAGTTTTTAAACCCGGCCCGGTAATCGACCCGGGCAGGTCTTCGGGTCACCGGGTCACCGGTTCAACCGTCGGGTCACCGGGTTAATTGCTGAACCGGATAATTAATTTTAAAATTTATAAAATTATATATAGAGTCTTTTGTGATATATAAATATACATAAAAATAACAAATTTAAATATTTTGTATGTAAAATTTGTAGATTAAAGTGGTAATAATATGTATATATTTATTATATAAATATATATACATAATTTTATTTTTTAAAAAGAAAAAGAAAATTTAAAAACAAAAAAAAAATAAAAAAATACATATAGACCGGGTCAACCGGGTTGACCCAGCCGGGTCATTGTCCCGGGTCGGCCGGGTCAAGGCCGGGTCGACCGGGTTTTGACCGGGTTTGACCGGGTCCGTTGTTGCCCGGTCTAATTAACCCACCCGGACCGGTTCCGGCTCCGGGTCGACCGGGTCCCGGGTCGACCCGCCGGGCCGGGCCGGGTCACAAAACACTGGTTGTGTGTGAAAAAAAATGTATATTGCATGATATTTTATTTATTTATTTCTATTTGTTTGTGTGCGCCAACGATTCAAGTTATAACATGTATTTGACTTGGTACGTTTCAAGCTAATTGAGTCTATTTACTCTATTTTTCACCTTGGAGCTTATGGTTGCGATTCCATATTTTTCTTCGTTAATCGGGTTGCTGTTTAAACTCTTTGCTTCGCAGAAAGTCAAGAAGTTCTCCCTTGCAGAACAGACCAAAGAACAAGCAGATTCAAGCGGAACAAAACAAATTTAATCGGCTGAATATTATGAGACGAGAAACTTGGCCCATTCTTCACATTAGTCGCCAGCTAGTTCGAAGTTAGATTATATTTATGTATCAGTGTACAATTTTCCAACCTTTAATAGTTCGTGTGCACGGTGTATGTTGGCTAAAACCGGAAAAGAGCTATCCTTGGCGGGTTAAGTTCAATGTTACCCCAAGCATAGTGTTCTTCCCCATTGGATTTGGAACAATTAAGTTATTAACACCATCCAATTTTTGAATGAATAATTTCTTATGGTATATTTGGCCACTGTAATCCCCCTATATATTAATACAGAACGCGCTGAGCCTACGTGGCTGTTTATGGTGTTTCGGAATCCTATGTGGCAAAATTACATGCTTCGTTATTAGGCTTGGGTAAATTTTAATTTAATTCAAAACCAAAAATAATTAGGTTCGGATTACCATAAATATGTTGATTATTTATGGTCATGTTACATGTATTAATTTTATTTTAATATCATTCCTTATTATAACTATTGAATTGTATATATATTTTAAAAGTTAATAACTTTTGTATTTTTTATCAGTTTTACATATGTAATATATCAAATTAATCTTCTTTTGATGAGCTTCGATTTAACATCCATATTGTATGTATAAACAAAATTATATTTATTTTTATAACAATAATAAAATATTTTTAATATTAATTAAAAAAATAAAATTATTTATCAACTAATAAATTTATATTTCAAGTAGTTATATGATATAAATTATAAAAACTAATACAATATAACACATGTAAGTCATAAGTAACACATCATTCTAAAATATATAGTAATATATTTTTTTTGTAAAAAAGTAAACTAAATTTAGAGTTTTCTCATTAATTTTAAAATTTAAGAATAATTTTTTAACAAGCACCCGTGTAATACACGGGTGTTGTACTAGTTGGTAAACAAAGGAAAAAACTATGGACCAGTTCATAGAACCGGCCCTGAACCGCCGGTTCACCGACTTGGTGGGCTACGAGCCGGTTCATAGGCTGGTACAGCCCTTAAAAAGAAAAAAAATACATTGTGGCCCGTCGTTCGACCCGCGGCTCGAATCGGTGGGTCAAAAAAATGTTCAACGATCCGGCCCTTAGGAGGGTTCAAAACCGGTTCAAGGGCCGATTCGGCCGGTGGACATGTCTATATACTTTAAAGAACTATTTAAATGTTAATTCGAAAAAAGAATATGTCATTGGAATTTATTCTACCATGAACTTTGAGGAATCATGTGTAAATTAGGAATAATCAAATTTGATTAAGTTTCCTAGTTCAAACAAATAAATGACCAATCTCGTTAAAAAATCAAAACCCCTCCTAATCGGAAAACCCCCAAATCAGCCATGGCGGGAAGAGTGATGATCAAATATGGTCGCGCGAAGAACAAAAACCTATCGGAAATCCAGATCACGGCGGAGCAGATCCTCCGCGAGGCTCGCGAGCACCAAGACGCTGGACTACGGCTGCCTAAGCGGAAAATTTCTGACGCGGCCGAGCTCGCGGAAGACCTCAATCGCAGGCGCAAAGAGTTCGAAGATTCCATCCGAAGAGATCGCCGCAACAAAAGCGTCTGGTCAAGATACGCCCGTTGGGAAGAGTCTCGGAACGATTTCGATCGGGCGAGGTCGGTCTGGGAGCGCGCGCTCGAGGTGGATCACAGGGACCACGCGCTGTGGCTCAGGTACGCTGATTTCGAGATGAGGAACAAGTTCGTCAACCGCGCGAGGAACGTGTGGGACCGCGCGACCGAGTTGCTGCCCAGGGTTGACCAGCTATGGCTCAAGTACATCCACATGGAGGAGATGCTGGGGAACGTGGCCGGCGCCAGGGGGGTCTTCGAGCGGTGGATGAAGTGGGCGCCCGATCGGCAGGCGTGGATTTCGTACGCGAAATTTGAGTCGAGGTATGGAGAAATCGAACGGGCGAGAGCAGTTTTCGAACGTCTTGTGGATTGCCACCCGAAGGCTGCCGCCTGGATTAGGTTTGCAAAATTTGAGGTGGAAAATGGAGATGTTGCACGGGTTAGGAGGTGTTATGAGAGGGCGTTGGAGAATTTGGGGGACGATGAGGAAGCTGGCGAGTTGTTCTTGGCGTTTGCGGAATTTGAAGAGAAAAAATGCAAGGAGATTGAGAGGGCGAGATGCATCTACAAGTATGCTTTGGATCGTATCCCTAGAGGGAGGGCAGAGGAGTTACGTAAGAAGTTCGTCTTGTTCGAGAAGCAATATGGTGGTAGAGAAGAGGTTGATGATGCCATTGTTGGAAACACGAGGGTTCAATATGAGGATGAAATTAGGAAGAACCCTCTTAATTACGATGTGTGGTTTGATTACATTAGGTTGGAAGAAAGTTATGGGGACAGACAAAAAATAGAGGATGTTTACGAGAGGGCTATTGCTAGTATTCCTCCTTCTCAAGAAAAACAGTACTGGCAGCGGTACATATACCTGTGGGTTAACTACGTTTTATTCGAGGAGCTCAATGCTGGGGATGTGGATCGCACAAGAGATTTGTATGGCTTGTGCCTGAAGACGATTCCTCATGAAAAGTTCTCGTTCGCCAAGATTTGGCTGATGGCTGCATGGTTTGAGATAAGGCAATTGGAAATTGGCCGAGCGAGAAAAATTCTGGGTTCGGCAGTTGGGATGGCTCCCAAAGATAAGATATTCAAGAAGTACATTGAGTTGGAGATGCGGCTTGGTAATGTGGAAAGGTGCAGGAAACTGTATGGGAAGTACTTGGAGTGGTCACCAGAGAGGTGCTCTGCGTGGAGCAAGTTCGCTGAGATGGAGGGCTTCTTGGGGGAAACCGAACGGGCAAGAGCCATTTTCGAGTTTGCAATCAACCAGCCTTTGCTGGACATGCCAGAGCTTTTGTGGAAGGTATAGCATGGTCACTGGTGTTTATTTTTTATTTTATTTTATTTTCTTTTATTTTATTTTTTGAACGTCAATGGGGATGTATTGAATTTTGGTTTTACATTATGCATTTGAAGTGTTGCGTCTCTGAAAGACTTGACTTCAAATTAATTCCATGGCCTTTAGGGTGAAACAAAAGTGCTTTGATTTTACTTATTATCTTCTTAATCCGTGTATGGCCTAGCTTTGCTAATATGATTAAATGCTGTATCACTATATTTTTCTGACCAAACCATGGCTCTTCATGGTTTTGTTTTTGCATGTATAGGGTTGAGTGTATGCCAAGTAGGCTTTGGTTGTATATAAGAATTGTTCTGGTCCTTTTCCGTTGTATGTCTTAATGTTTATACTCTTTAACTTGATAAAGTAAACGTGCACTAATCATTATATAATTTGATCGCCAGGCATATATTGATTTTGAAATATCCAAGTCTGAATTGGAAAGAGCCAGAGCTCTTTATGAAAGGCTTCTGAATCGCACGAAAAACTTGAAAGTATGGATCAGTTACGCAAAGTTTGAGGCATCTGCTATCAAGGAGGGCCTTCATGAATCAGAATTGACTGAAAGTGATTTCGAACAGAAGAAAAAACGCCTTGAGCGTGCCAGAGGTATGAAAATAAATTCCTAAAAATATAAAAAACTCGCCTTGGTTTTGTTCTCAACTGTAGTCTAATTTATTGTGGTTAACTAAATCTCGCAATTCTTCTACCAGCTCTGTTTGAAAGAGCCCTCAACTATTTTCGAGATTCTGCTCCCGAATTGAAAGAGGAAAGGACAATACTTTTGGAAGAGTGGTTGAACGTGGAAAACAGTTTTGGCGAGCTTGGTGATGTTGACCTGGTCAGGAGTAAGCTACCAAGAAAACTGAAAAAGAGAAGGCATATTGAAAATGAGCATGGTCGAGGCGGGTATGCATTATTTTCCTTAGGCCCGTTTTATTTTTATCCTCAGAATAAACTATTGTGGCTTAGTATATAAAAGTATTGGCTTTGCTGATTTTAGTTATACAATGAAAACTGAAGCGACTCGTTCTCTTGGTATTGCTAAAGATATAATGAATTTCTCTGATGAATATTTCTCAATGCAGGTTTACCGAGTATGTCGACTATTTGTTCCCAGAAGAAACACAGACGACAAATGTTAAGATATTGGAAGCAGCCTACGCGTGGAAGAAGAAGCAGAAGACCTGAGTTATCCCATGAAGGTGATTTTGGTGACAATAATTAGGCCATGTAGATATTAAGTTGGTGTTAAGGTGATTTGAGTTTTTTCTTATTTTTGTGTGATTTATATATGATTTAGAGATATAATGAGGTCAATATTATTTATGGCTGCGGCCGTGCGGCCTATAGTTCTTTCAATATTTTATTTGCGACCAGCTTTTCTATGTATTTTCACATTTAGTGGTGTTATTGTCACATTCTTTAAAAAAGACGAGTCGCCTCGCCTAACTCGGTTTATTGGCACACCCGTGCAATTGCTCAAGTGCATCATTGACCAACTGCAATACATGAAAAACTTGAAAAGCTAAATGAAATCGATGCTCATATATTCTAAATATATATTTATTTAGTTTTGTTGAAGCTCGTCCTTTCAATATTGTTTTACCCAGTCAACTCGGCCTTGAGAACCTCCATTCGTCCCTCTCTCTCAGTCTCGGTTTCCAACTGCTCTTCGAGCCTCTCGAGCATCCAGTTGAGTTGATCAACCCTAGTTCGGGCATGGGCCTCCACGAGACGGGCTGCATCACTGTTGTTGGGCCTTCGGCTAGGGCTTAGTGCCCTTCCGAAGACGGACTCCGCAGTCGGATGGAAAAACGAGAAGGGCTTGCCGGTGGGTGAGAAGACGACGAGCCCGATGTCGATGCTGCAGAGCTTGCTGAGCTCGCTGGCCTTCCGAAAGAGCCCGAGCCGGCGTTTGGAGAACGTGGCGAAGCAGTCGCTCTCCCTCTCTATTCTCTTTATGGGTATCCTTTGGCGACCCTTTGTTCTTTTCACCTCCATATTTTGTTTCTTTAGGTGGGAACCAAGGTGAAAATGGAGAGTAATTTGCCTTATGAATTATCTATGTGCTTTGGCATTTGCTAGTATTTAAGCAAGAGCATGCAATATGCGTTTGGAGTGTCTCATGACTATTGTCGTTCCACAATATTAGTCTTTTATTGGGAAAATATCTATTAGAAAGCGTAATAATGGAAAGAATTTATGTCCAGACCTGGTATTGGGTTCAAATTTGGAATATATGTTAAGGTTTTTGCTTTCGGAATACAATTGGAGCCTCCGAGTGTTACTTACAGAAGAACGAGTCAGCTGTATTAATAAATGAAAATAGAGACGTTAGTTAGCACATGTGATTGATCAAAGAACAATAATTTAATTGGGCCGGCTTCCAATCAATATATCCTTGATAGGACCTCGTTTACTAAATAGAATATATTATATATATATATATATATATATATAATTGTCAGCATATAACTTTTAATAAAACCTATTTAATAAAACTTCTAAAATTTTTCCCTCTATTTTCGGTTACAAAATTTATCATTAATATTTTTTGAGTTCTCACATTAATACATCCTATTAAGTGTAATCATGTATTTTTTTCTATTATATTATATAATAGTTATTGCTCATACCAACTAATAAGAATTCACAATAAATATAAATTAAGTGTAATCATGTATTTTTTCTATTATATTATATAATAGTTATTGCTCATACCAACTAATAAGAATTCACAATAAATATAAATTACCTAATCACAAACAATTGTTTCAAGTTATTTATATTAACATCAATATTATCTTTTTCTTTTGTATCTGATGAAAAATTTCTTTAGAAATAATTAGTAAATTGTTTTAATAGCATAGTCAAACAACTTTAGAACCTTATAAACAATTGTTTCTTAGTAATAATAATAATAATAATAATAATAATAATAATAATAATAATAATAATAATAAAACTATTATTATATAATGATAATAAACAATTGTTCATAATAATAAAATCGTTAATTTATTTTTCCTAATGATCAATTTTTTAAAAATGTAATATGTTCATTATCTAGAATTTTAATATTAAATTCTCAAATATTACTTAGAATATTTTATGTACATCTGTGCCTGTGCACAAGATATCTACTAGTTGGGATAAAAAGACAGACCACGTGCCACGAGTTGACGCACGCGTGTATCCTTTGCGGGTTTAAAAAAAATCCGGCTACTATGGTGTGATAAAATTATTCTTGCTATTAAATGACTTTTATTTAATTTAAAATAATTTTATTTAATCTAAAATAATATTATATAATCAATAAACAAATTGATTTAATTATTTTAATCCATAATTTAATGTATTTATCATAAACTTTTATCCACTTTGGTAAACATGATACAATTTGTATCCAAAATCATGTGGCAAATTAGAGGGATTAATTTGTTCAATCTCATCCTCTCTAATAAACGAGGCCTATATTTTTGCTTTTATAGTTTGTTTAGAATATTTATGTGAAATAGAGAACATAATATTAATTGTAAAAGCATCGTGACATTTGGCTATGACTTGTTCAAATTATAATCTAGTATAATGTCTATATAATCATATTTTTTGTTTATTACTTGTTCATAACTTTCAATTGCACCCGTTTGATGATTGAGACACATGTAATATTAACCACATTATCATCGAACCAAATAGAACATAAAAGTTCACTATGACAATACACAACTATTAAAAATGTAAAACCATCCTTGAAACTAATACCTTTATATAGACTAGATTTTATTGAGCTTTGTATTTTTTGTTTTTGGTAAGGTACTTAGAATTAAACCTTTTTTACTATATTTTCTGTTATAATTTTATCTTTTTCTTCATTCTATTTAAATAGAAAAATATATTGAAAGGAACCAAAAAAAATAAAAATAAAAAAATGCCACAGTAAGACTATCCTATTATTTGTCAAGATTTTGGCTTTTTATATATATATTTTTTATAAGAGAAGGAGGCAACATCTATAGAACTAAACTATCATCTAACGTTCCGAGAATAAAACACCTCGATCATATCATGATATAACCAGATGCTCGCCATAGGCGGAGGAGAGTCCAAGTAATGAAGACCTCCCGGGCCTTCGCGGCCAAAGAAGCCAAGTAGCCCGCAACAAAATTAGCTTCCCGATAACCATGAGAAACCTTTACCTGCCATGTACGTCCCAACAACTCCCAAATTCCCCTCAAAACGCTCCCATACGGCCCATCACAAGTATCATTATGAACCATGGAAATTATACTTTGATTAATACATATTTTGGATCCAGTACATATCTATATGGGTCTGTGCTTGATTCAAACGATGAAAAGTTCGGTGCAATGTACCTAAGTTCCGTTTACATTTTATTTAAATATTTAATTAAAATGATAATAAAAAAAAAGTTAATTAAGAATAATTAAACAATTCTTTCATATACTAAGAGATATTTTGCACATTTAGTCCCAAATTTCCTCTTTTAACCACTACTGCAAGACAATAAAACACTAAATGCGAGGGCTGTAATTGCAAAAATCACCAATTCCAAAGCTAACGCCATAT